GATTTTTCTAAAAATAAATATTATTTTTCAAGTTTCTTTCAATTTGGCAGAGAAAAGGTCTCTTGACTTTTGCCTCTACAACGCACCGTCTTTGAGGAAAGAAATTAAAATCGATTTATTGCCCAGCGTGTTCGGGTTTTTATTTAAAAAGTTGGCTCTGCACTAATTATGGTCACCGATTGAAACAAATTAATAATTGCTGGCATTTCGAGTATCTCAGTACGTTCTTTTTGCGTTTTTTTCTAATAAAATTGATACAATCTAAGTGCACAATTTCTGTTTTTATACTAAAATCAACTTAATTACAACCCGATTAAGCAATGCAATAAATCGATTTTTTTACTCGAAAACGGGACGTCGTAGAAAAAAGTCAAGAGACCCTTTCTCTTTCAAATTGAACAGGAATTTGAATCATCAGGTTTATTGCTTAAAAAATCAGTGATGTAACGTTTTTTATATATAAAGTTATCTACATTCGTGCGTGTGCCCATGCCACTGGAAAAGCTAGAAACTAAATGTTTATCAAAAAACATGTATTGTTGTTAAGTGCCAAAGCCTGTAAAATTTCGTTTAAATATTCCAAGCGGTTTCCGCAATATTAACTTATTAAAAAGTAAGCTTTTTTTATTAAAGCTTTATCACCCTGTAGATCGGAAATTAAGCGATTTCGGTACACGGTATATTAACGAAATATATCCAAAATTACTTGCACTATCACCCCCTCCAAGAAATACATCTTTTTACCAAACACCTTATATATTTAAAAAATATTCACGGCAAAAAAACTATTAATCGGATTTTGATGAAATTTGGGCTACTTACATTTCCTAAAAATGCCTTTTTCATGGTAGTGTCAGATTTTTTATTGGTGTTTAGTATTGCAGAATAATAGTCTAATAACTTTGATTTTTCTTATGGATGCAATATTGACTTTTTATCGTACTAAATAGAGAAACAAATTAGCTTTTTAATGGTGTAAGCACATGGTTAGAACTGTCGTCATCGACATGACAATGACATAAATAAAGTTGCGTTGTGAACCTACTAATCTCATTCCTCTAACGTGCCGTACCTACAATTATTGATGTGAATAACTTGCACTTCCAATTGTTTTTATTTATTAACTTGACAGCACGGGATAATGGTATGATATTCGGTACTTGAACGTCTCGATATGTATAATGTTTACTTGCGCAATAATCGAAACTCTGGGTACGCAGCACGAAACTATGAGCACCATGAAAAGGGCATTTATTAAAAATGTAAGTAGCCCAAGTTTCATCAAAATCGGATTAATAGTTTTTTTGATGTTTCCATATTTCAAAAACCATGACATCTAGGTTTAATTTCCGTATGTCGTTAAAATAAGCATTAAAACGCTTAACTTTTTCGTCATTTGATCAACTCTGTATGTCGTTGCGTTGAGGAGACCCAAATGGTGTACATTGTAAGAGTCACCACCCGGTGTAGATTAAGACAAAATAAAGGCATAAAATGTTCAACAGCATTAGCTACCACATATCAGCGATCTATCACCACCAATATCATTAACAGATCCACACCAAGAGCACACGCTGCTAATATTTCAAAGACATCGCCATAATAGTGGTTCCCTGTATATTGTCTGGAATATCTCGATGAATTCCATAAATTTCCGGCCAATAATTATTATTCCATTTAATATTTAAAACTCGATTCGCGCTTTGAATACAGAAAATCTAATACTATCACCTTACAGGAGGAACTTTTAATGAATAGCTTGCAAATTTTTAAAAGTTTTAAATTTTAAAATAGAACAAGAAGAAAATTATCTATATTGCAAAGAGAAGTTAAGTTAATCTGAGGCTAAAATGCAAAATGTGACATTTGTGCAGATAAAACATGGAGATTTAGATCCGAAAGGCTTTATACGAAAGTAATTTAGAGTGAATGTATAGATCTTGGGCAAGCACACATACATAGTAATATTATCCGCCGGCTGGTTTGTGAGGGTTAAGCACATATTAATGAAATATAATATTGTGATGAGAATATGAATAGCCGGCAGTTGCCATTTAAAGCCGAGGCCAGCATTTCAATGTTCCTATATGATATCAAAATAAACTGAATAAGTAAGGGCTAGATCTAATAAAGCAAAATGACAGATAATGTCACTGAAATTCGTCTCTTATGATTATTAGTTTTATAACACTCTATATGAGATTATTTAAAATTAAATATATCACTGCCAACAAAATATAATCTTATGTTTTAACGATTTTCATTTGTACTGTAAACCAGAGCGACTGATCAAAAAGTAAACAAGACGACTAAACATTATGAAATTTTTCAAAAAGTAAATCTGGAATTATAGTCGCTATAACGTAAAACGTAAGACCTAAGACGTATTACGTAAAACGTAAGAAAAAAAAATCAAATTGATTCATACTTGACGTAAAACGTAACAATAAAGCTAGGTTATAATGCTCGGTTATAGAGGTTATTTAATCCCCTCATAAAAATGTTTGTTGATAAAATTGATTCAGACGACAAAATTAGTGTTGCTGGTGCGTAATTATGCTATATTATATTATTACCTAACCATAGAAAAATACTGAAATGTCGCTATCTGCAGAAATTAAACCATAACCCAACAATCCATTTAATGTTGCTAGGTTTGCAATGTAACATTTGCCAGCTGGTAGATTCAAAAGTTGCGGAATGACAACGCAGTACGTAAGACGAGCGGCGGCTACGCGTAGGACACCATTCTATGAACTACGCATACACCACCCTCGCAGTCCTGTCATCAAATCAAATCCTATCAGCTGTTTAACTGCACGACGTATTTTAGTTCTGGTAGACTGATTGTCTTTTTATCAGAAATATACAAATAATGACGATAAAAGTGAACTTAGCTTAACAAAAAGCAAAATCATTCCAATGGATCAGTCGATTTTGATTAATGATATTGAATCGAATGCTTTCCTACTAATAGAAAATGTTAAAAAATTAAATAAAAATCTTTCTGTTGAAAATTTATCATTTATATTAAATTCTTTTAAAAATATCAAAACATGCAGTACCTTTAATATTGACAATAATTGCGAATTTGACTTTGATATGGCTCATAATGAACCACATAATAAGAAAATTAAGAAGCAAGTTTTTTTCTCTACCAAAAAGTTAATACAAATAAGAAACCACATCAGGAAGAGAACGTAATTATTAAAAATACGTTGAGCAAGGGAGAATCGTTCATATCCAATGAAGCAGTTTATGGTCATATGTACACGGCTCTTAAATAATTACGTATTTTGATGTACTACCTAGATATTTATTTTAGTATATGTATTTGTTTTATATACATTGAATATTATCAGCAGCGGCTGAACGATCTTTGATTTTAAATAAAATCGGGAATACATATTTCCATTCTCGCATGCGTTTTAATTTTTCTTAAGTTTTTATTAAGTTCACTTTTATTGTCATTATTTCTATTGCACTTATTAGGTACATTTTCATAACTATTGAAATAATGTAAACATATTAAGTGAATAGAGCTGCTACAAATACTATGTTTTATTTTAAACAGGGTGATTCAAAATTGGCGTCATTCATCTGGAGGTGTTGTCTGGCGCTGTTATAGGAGTACAAAAATAGTAAAAGAAATTAAATGTTATTAAAAACTGAGAAATTTGCAAAAAACTACATCAGAAATACGACAGCAATGTTTTTCAAGGTAATCTGCCTAATTAACAATGCGCAAATACATGTTGCTTCGTAATTATTTAAAAATCCGGTAACCATGGAATTATACAGACTGACAATAAGATAGACAAGGATAAACGGTAAATTCAACAAGATTTGTTGACGAAATGTCAAACTGTTCTCATAACCTCGAATATTGGTGTTTAAAAATAAACCATATAACACCAAACATTTGAATGGTTAACTCCAAACCAGCTAGTGCCTGTGTAATCTCCTTATTATCCACTCTTATCAAGCAGCTTCTCGTATTCAGTTAATTAACTCGTGCTCCATTCGTATCTCCTTGTGCTGTGTGTATCGTACAAACGTGGTAGGAACGTAGCCCTTCCTCGGTGTTTATTTGGTGCTTGGGAAAGTGTCAGTTATTGTGCTCTGAGTACCCCTCGAAGGCCCTGATCCGGTTATGTCCAATACGTGTTCCTCTGTGCCTGGAACCCGAACATCTATCGTCCACTATCTTCCTGGAACCACTCTCCTCGCTCTTTGTTGGCGTGAATTCTTTCAACTTCTGCTATGTTGCTGTAGCATTTCCCCTGAACTAATCGCAAATCCGCAAATTCGTGAAAGGAAATTCAAAGTAAGTCACAGTTTGACAAATTATTGTTATTATTGATAAGGGCTATCCACCTGTAACTATCTGTTAATGACAAAAAACATCAWTGCCACTGTGCCTTTTCATCAAAAAATTGTAGAAGAGAACTTTTTTGATATCAAAAATTTTCGTAATGTGAAGCAAAGATCGTAATTTTGCTTTTTGAATGCTAAGTATTCCAATACGCTAGCAATTAAACATGGAACAATTTCAAAATTATGCTTAATAACAAAGTTGAAATTCGATCTTCAACTGTTAATATCTTCAAGAAATTTTTGAAAAAAAATTTTTCTATATTTTTCTCGTACTCCCCAAGTGAGCCTCTATCACCCCTTGAAAGTAATGACGCCAATTTTGAATCACCCTGTATAAGGGCCAGTAGCCCTCTCTATGTCTTCTCGAAAAAAAATTCGAAATTTACTAAACTGTTACTATTATCTGTTACTACTAACGTTATTTTATTGTGCAGAGGGCTGCGAGGGTGGTGCATGTGCAGTTCATGGAATGGTGTCCTACGCGTAGCCACCGCTGTAAGACGTAACGCAAGAAATGGAATCGAACCTTGTCTGAACTTACGGCTTACGTTTCCATACCGCCACTATGAATGCATACATTGCTATTCATTGGTTTATTTTATTACGTAAACAGTAAAGCAAAGTTACAGTTTCTTTGGTATTCTAATTAATGTAATTTAACACTCGTACATCAAGTACCGATTAATGCGGAATTAAGATCTTCCTGTTAAGCGTGGGGAACACAGAGTGTTATTCAAGGTGTTGATACGTAAGCGCGAGGAACCATAACGCATTGACGCACAAACCGGAATAAACACAAAAGCTCCGCACAACATAGTGTTACTCAGGTCTACTTCCAGTGACTGAAATGTAATACTTCTAATTTCACGCCAGTTCACTAGCATATTTGGGCATTATTTTTTCTCAGTTGCACAATATTTTTTTCCAATCTTCATTAGATTAATTTAGGTCAATAAAATGTTCAATAAAACTTAAACAGCACTGCAGCTATGACGTTTCGGGTATGTCTTTTTAATTTCTAAAACGCATATTAAAAGTTTTATATTGTAACGGAAATGGCCTGGGGTACTCACGTTTGGAGTGGGGGACGAAATTCATGGTGTTTCAGTAAATGGGAGCCCCATTTGGGCCCCA